ATCCTGTAATCACTCCCCCTGCCAGTTAAAAGTACGTAGGAAATGTCATTTCCTGAGAGAATCTTTGGAAGCAGCACAAAATTTCAGCTGGACCTACAGCATATGAAAGTAGGAGAAGTAGCCAGGTCTTAGTAGCGTTTACATCCTTATGTTAGATAATGAGTGCAGTGGACTCTCACAAAGCTTAAAGGAATTGTTTACCCAAAAATGAAGATTAATGTTGATCCAAACTCATGACTTTCTTTCTTCTGGTAAACACGAAGATATTTTAATGTTACGTAGAGTAGTTTATTTCTTCCATGCAATTACAATGATTGTGACTGAGGATTTTAAGTTTTAAAAAGGGCACAGTACTGTAGTCTGAAAAACTCATGCACTATACATAATTTATACAAAATATATAAAAGCTTTGTGTAACAAACTGACCAAACATATAAAAAAAAATTCATACTGTATTCTATGGAAGAAAGAACGTCATACATGTTTGGAATGACATGAGGATGAATAAATAATGACAAATTTTCAACTTTTGGGTGAACTATCCCTTTAAACCTTGACTCTTAAAAATATGTACTCTGTCTGGAGTTGTAAGTAGTTTTCTGTCTTCAGCACACATTTCTTGTCCACCCATCTCGTGGTTTGAAGCATAATCGTTTATTTAGGGTAATGTGCTGAGCTAGTGGTTTCTCCTGACAACTGCTGCCAAGAGGAGTAGAATTACACAATGTGCTAATATATAGCAACAAAGTATAGGACTACAGCTTAACACGTGCCCTGCTAGCGCAATACTTTTGTCTTTAACTTTGTATTGTTTGGAAAAAATCTTTCCATTTTTCGGATCAAGGAAGAATTTATTGCATAGGGCCTATACAACATGTTGTAATATGCTGCGTGGAGACAAAGCCTGTTGTGAATTTCACGGTCTACAATAATACATGAAACATGTTGAACTCAACTAAACGAGCAACTGCCATGAAAATGGCAGTTATTAGTAAACTTTGATATGATGGAATCAGTCACTCTCATAAATCAGATGTTTCCTATTTTTCAAAGCTTTTTTGCAAAGCACAAGCCACATGATAAGAGTCTCAGCAGTCTAAACAAGTAGGAATTCTATGTATAAACAATTCTCTAAAAATGCCACCACTTATCTTTCAGGACTGCCTCCAACTCACTGATTACAACTAGGAAAAAAGGACCGTATATTTGACATCTTTGACTACATTCAAAATGGAATACTAGCATGCATTTACTCAATTAGCTATATTGTTTTGTGTTTTTTTTTTTATTAAATGTGAAACGGAATTAGCATCCAGTTATCATCCTGAAAAGAAGTACAGTTACTGTTACAATAATGAGTCAAGAAACGTTCAAAATCACAGCTGGTTCCTTTACCATATTGGAAATGTAAATTCTGCATTGTGGAATACTGTATTGATGCATGCATAGGCTTACTGTACATACTGTATGCTGCAGAAATAGCAATTCCAAAAAGCATTAGACAATATAGCAGACAGTATTGACATCACTTCTGGAGTTAAAACTAGTATTTTTTTTTCAAGCTCATTTATCAGGTTTTTCTTTGCAAAACACCTGTTTTGTCTATTCTAATTAACCAGTTAATCATGCCAGCAAAATGCAAGGACAACTCAATTCATTTTGAATACCACATTAATTCCTGCTATCAGGACTCTACACTGACTCCATGTGGCTACAACACAGAAGATGCCAGATCCTCTCACATGGAACCAACTCACATCTACGCATATGCAAATATGAGATCCACTTTATAGTTATATACTGTATATGGCTTTTATAGTTCAAGAAGATATAAAATGGTTCACTTTGTTCACAGTCTGGAAGCTTGTGTTTTGGATGACATTTTGCAGCAAATGTGTATAAACTGGTGCGTGTGTGTGCCAATAAAAAGGTTTACCCTTTGATAACGTAATACACAGTGATTCTTTCACTTATTCAATTACAGTTTAAGACATTGCCCACCCGCAGACCTGACTCCTGCAGCGAAATCATGCATTTCATATCAGAGTAGATTAAAAGGGCTCATGGAGAGAAGCTCTCAGTCAATCAGTAAGTGGCTTGTTAATGTAATACACGAGTCAGCGGGAGAGACGGCACAATAACACACACATCACATCAACAACATCTTATCAACAACAGCTAATACAGGAGCCTTCCAGTCCAGTCTCTACTATGGGCATCTCCGGTTTGGTCAGTGCTGGGTACAGTAAGGTGCTTGACCGACCTCTACAGATGCCTCTTAAAGTTTTTAATGGGAGTCGAGGACCAGGGGAAATCAAAAGGAGATGCTCTCTCATATCTCTGGTATATGTAGCATCTCGAGGGAGCTCTTGTTAAACTCATTTGGGCCACTCGCAAGGCAACAAAGCAACACAAAGACACCCTTCCATTAAATCACTCGCTCAGTTTGTTTGTTTATTGGCTCTGCCATTAGGGCAAATTATTCTCAGTTAATTGGTTTTATAATTATACCACTGGATATGCAGAGGACCAGCATTGTGGCACTCAAAAAAAGACCCAGCGAGGAAATAGGACCGTTTAATGACCTAGATTATTTACATATTATATAGCCTGTTGCTGTTCTCCAGTATTGGTAAATTTTTACAATTTTCTGGGAATAAAAAAACTCTTGAATCATGATCTTTGGATGTCAGCGATCATGGTTTGAAACAAGGCTTATTAGCTATGAACTACTGAAATACTGTAGTAGGCCCAGTGGATCAGCATTTTAAAAAAGCCCATAACATTTGAATTAAAATAAAAAATGCTGTAAGCATTTGTCACTCAGAATTCATCACAATTCAGTTTCTTCTCTTGTAAAAGCATGTAAGGGAAGATCTATTGACATATTCATTCAAATGACTGTGTGGTTTTAATAAAAAGAGACAGAGCAGACCCCTCAGGAGGGAGTCATTTAGTTCAAGCTTTATTCAGATGGGGGCGGTGGCTGATTAAGTCACAGACCAGCTAATATCCTTGATACAATCAATATCCGAGAACATTACAGGCGCCATAAGAAGAGCTATGCGTTATTTTCTCTCAGCGGCATTTTGTAAATGAGCCGGGGAGCAGTGACGTTATTCTAATACTTGATGGCCTAAGTACTTTCAGTGACTGTGCTTATTGACTGTGTTAATTATTCGCCTCTGATATCGAAAACTGTCTTGTCGTTCGTACCAAATGTCGTACCAAATTTCGATACCTAAGGGTTTCAGTAAGTCAGTAAGCGTGCAGCATGCTTGATGTGCCTAAATCAAGTGCTGGTGATTGGCTCTGGTGAGGCATCCAGGAAAAACACTAGTTTACGCCGGTTCCGCCCAGAGATGTGGCTCACACGTGAGGCTGTAGTGTGTAGGTGTCCCAACCCCCATAGATGTAAAGCTACATTTACACTAGTGCGTTTTGATAACCAGCTCGTTAGAAGTGAGCTACGTGCATGAATTGTGTTCCGATCGATATGATCCCTATACAGTGTTCATTACTCTCTCCTCCCTGAGCAGGGGAAATCCATTGAAGTTTACTTCACTTCGGAATATGGGCTGGAATTGGGAACCGGTGATGTAGCCTATTGTAGTAATGTTGTCTCTGGTATTCTGGTCTGTGAGTGTATATGCGTTCAGGGGGTGTGGCTTTGGACAGCGATTGCAGGGAGTGTGGGAGGCTAAAGTTAGCATTTTCCAAGATCTCCTACTGCATCTTTAATGTCATTAAAAAAATTACAAAATTATGAAATACTCTGTGTCTGCCACTGGTTAGTTAAACAGATAGTCCCGTTCCCGAACACTATACTGGTTGAATGTTGCTGTTTTGGACTACTCAAACAAACAGTTTATGTGTTTGTACTGTGAAACTTAACCTTTATTTCTAGGAGGCTATGCAAATTAAACTGAAAAAAAAAATCTATAAGATGGAATATTGCTTCTGATGTAAAACTTATTTTATAGATGTTTAGAATTTTCTACTAGAAAAAGTTTCTTGTAGTGTAAAAAACATTATTTTTCATGATCAGAATTTTCATGATTGCACAAATGAATGCAAAAACGTTTATGACAACAAAAATGATGGATTTCTGAATTGTTATATTGTAACCATCTCTCATGTTTTCAGCTGTTGGACTCGTGTTGTTTTGGTCATAACATGTCATCTTGTTCAGCTGAGGATAATGAATTGCTCAGTATCAGGCAGTGCTGTAAACTACAGCTGTGAGTGTTGAGGAAGTAGTGAGTGAGGGAGAAACAGCTCTGATGAGAGCTCAGCAACAAAGCTCTAAAGAAGAGTGAGGCTATTTATAGCTATTCCCCAGCAATTAGCAAAGAGTCTTGAAATAATTGCCATTACATTTGTTGTACTGAATACTGCTCTGCATAAAAGGCGAAATATGAAAAGAATCCATATTTAATTATATTTATTCAATTTTCACAACTGTAATCAAAATGCATAAAATGAACAGTTCTAATTACTTCAAAACATACTAACATTTAAATGATCTAAAACTGGATGTAATGCTAGAACCAAATAGTGCTGTAAACTACAGCTGTGAGTGTTGAGGAAGTAGTGAGTGAGGGAGAAACAGCTCTGATGAGAGCTTAGCAACAAAGCTCTAAAGAAGAGTGAGGCTATTTATAGCTATTCCCAGCAATTAGCAAAGAGTCTTGAAATAATTGCCATTACATTTGTTGTACTGAATACTGCTCTGCATAAAAGGCGAAATATGAAAAGAATCCATATTTAATTATATTTATTCAATTTTCACAACTGTAATCAAAATGCATAAAATGAACAGTTCTAATTACTTCAAAACATACTAACATTTAAATGATCTAAAACTGGATGTAATGCTAGAACCAAATACTTCTATAATTCTACCACTACCCTGCCGCTCCACATGTGAGTGTCCATCACCTTTACACACCAGGCCCTCTGTTGCAGCCAAGACTCCTGGGAAAGAGCTCACTGCACCCATGTCCTATTATAGCAGTGCCTGGCTGCAAAATGAAGACTGGCGTGAGATAGCTTGACATCAGGGGGACATTTGAAAATGGATTGACTGAAAGGGGGAGGAGCTGGCTCAAAAAATACCCCTCCTATTGTGACCCTTTTATTACCCCCTTATATTAAGGTAATTTGCAACAGGGACTGTCCAGTTTATTCAATTTTCTTAGACTTTAATAACTCACAGTTACTGGGCTGACTGGCGTAAAAAAAAAAATTGGGGTAAAAGTGTTGAATAGACATGTTTAACTCTTAAAATCCCCAAAAGGGGTCAGATATCATCTGTTGACAAGTCTGTGGGCACAGTTCAGCCAAAAGAAGAGAGTGACACTTGTATGTGAAGCAAGAAGCTATTTTTACACCATGGGCACATATTCATCTGGTTAGATACGTGCTATCCACCACAACAACTCAACAAGTGGATGCATGTTATGCCACAAACAACGGATTTTTCTCCTGGCATTATAAATTTCAATGGTGCTCCAATGTAATTTTGATTATTAAGGCCTGACATGGAACAACAGAATTACAGGCTTGGGATTTTTTTTTTCATCGGCTTGACACTTGACACCACATGGTTATTCCAATACATGTACTGTCTCAAGCCATCGTCCCATGTTTCCAGCTCGTTCATCTCTGCCTGATGCCACTGCTATTTCAGCGTGTTTCTGCTTCGGAACCCTCGTTGCTTTAGCCCCACCAGGGCCCTTGTACAAAGTGGCCTTTACATCTGCACTTTGTCAACTTTAAGGAGAGCCCAGCAAAAGCATTGTTGAAGAGATTTTTTTTGCTGCACATATGCAACAGATGAGGAATAGCTTCTTTCTAAAGCATGAAAAAAATTATCCACTAAAAAATGCGATATAAGAGCAAAAGGTAAGAAAAAAAAGCACACTTGTGTACAGAATGTAATGTGGATAGTTTATGCAAGGTGTTAAAATCTAACTAAAATGTCTTTATTATATAGTTAATAGAAATATGTAATTATTAATAATAAATATGTTATTATTTGTGGGTATGAGTACCATAATCCAAAATATGTATTTACAGCAATAAAAGAAATTGCAATATTAAGTTTCAGTTGATTCATGACGCAAAGTATGATATATTTCCATTTAAATTATGCTTTTAAGTTTTTATTATCTTTAATAAAACATAATGTACATGCAGACAGTGTAACCCTACTATTTATTATTATTATGTTTTCATACTACTAAGCAAGGATGTATCCAAATGTAAAAATAAATAAATGTAAATGTTTAAGAATCTATCATTAAAAAAAAAAATCTTGGTTGAGCATTATTCTGAATATTAAGAGGATGTGTCTGTGGTGGTTACAGCCCTGTATTAAAGTAGCATCTGTAATGTCCAAACTGCTCTGTGAATGCAGGACAGGCAGGGACAAGAATAAAAGAGTTAAAAGACTATACGAATCAGCCTCAAACAAATATCATATTTTGCTTTCATTAGACTGAAAACTTTAATGTTTATTAATCATACAGACAACACTTCAACTCAAAGTAATAATAATTATAATTAAAATCAGTATGTGTATATACACATATACATGTGTGTGTGTGTGTGTGTGTCTACACATTCATACTTCTACATACTTGCATATACTAGATCAACACAAAGGAAAAGACATTCCAGAGGTATTCTCACCAAAATGTCTTGCATGTTTCAAAGCATCAGGGGAATTTATTTTTACTCACGTGTTTAAATTTGTAACCACACTGATGTGGGGGAAGTAGGCTATTTATAGCTATTCCCCAGCAATTAGCAAAGAGTCTTGAAATAATTGCCATTACATGTGTTGTACTGAATACTGCTCTGCATAAAAGGCAAAATATTAAAATAATCCATATTTAATTATATTTATTAAATTTTCACAACTGTAAACATGCCGTTTTGTAATATGTAAAGGCAAAATGCATAAAATGAACAGTTCTAATTACTTCAAAACATACTAACATTTAAATGATCTAAAATTGGAGGTAATGCTAGAACCAAATACTTCTATAATTCTACCACTACTACCATACGAAGTCCATGTGCAGGGTGTTCCAGTGGGACCCATTTTAGCATGTAAGTAAGTGTCAGAGAAGGTTAATATGTGATCCTGTGTAAGAATGGGAAGCAGTTTCCTTCTCTAAATATACTTCACATGATATGAATATGCAGGATACAAGGCAAAGGTGTGGCTCAACTCACAAATGATCAGATTTAAAGGTCAAAGACTAGCAGTGCGATTTGCAAGACCTTTGTCGAAAACTACAGTGAACTGCAAGTTTATGACATCTCTGGTACTTTTGCAGGAAAGGAAGGCATTTTGATCACCTTTTAGAAGGTGAACTACTTAAATGCAAGACACCCTGCGTCAGCCATCTGAAGACTGACAGGGACAACTGCGCCCTGCCCATGAGAGTGAGCGCTTGAAATTAGCTCCCTGGAAAAGCGCAACACAGGCCAGCGGGGAAGCATGCAGGGCCACCGCAAATACTCAGATGGCCTCAGTGACACATCCAGAAGCGGCATCTTTATGGATGACACAGACAGGGAGGTGAGCAACCTCACCGATCGTGCCTTCAGGAGCCTGTGCATCGGAGAGGAGGCCATTTACAATGACTCAGAATTATTCTCATCTCCTACTGAACGACACAAGGCATTTGCAGAGGAAACCCAGCAAAAGACAATCTCCCACGAAGCATTGTCATACAGCATTCAGCAATATGGGGAAGCAGAAGTACAGTCAGAGATGGCCTCGACATTCCAGCATTCCTATGTGGATGTAACCCATCAGGAACAGGCTTTCAGAGAGGGAAGCTTGTCTTATATGAACAATGGCTCCAAGGAGGTGACATGGCAGCAGAGCAGGAGCACATCCAGGGTGTCATCTCTAATCAAAGCCTTTAGTTCAGGGGAGTGTTACCATGACAGCGGGACATGTGACGTTATTCTGGCAAGGGATAGGTATAGAGACTTTGGCAGTGAATCATGGGACAAATCAGCTATGCTAAGCATCCAAAGAGAACTTCAGGATCTTCAGAATATTAAGTTCTCTTCAGGATATCATCAGAATTTTAAGTCAGGCCCCTTTCAGTCTTACAGAAACCATTTTTACACATCTGACGTGGCTGCCACAGTGGCGCAGATGGACACAACAGTCCTGATGAAATCTTCGAAAAGTAAGTTCAAGGCACTGAACTCTACAAACTGTTTTTTCCATAGTGAATTTAGTCCCTTCCAGCTTTGGGAAGAGTACAACAGGTTCTCCTTCCAAAGTACAAATGTGTCAGGGTTTATGTCAGCTAGCGAATTCCCACAGTGGTATGATTCTCCCATGTACAAAGAGCTGAAAGACAACCACAGAATTCCAAACTCTCCGTGTGTAAGTAGGAGCTTCAATCAGAGGCAAATTCAGGATGTTGTGGCCAGCCAGCGCTCCAGGTCCACAGTTGTCCAGAAAGCCTCCGCGATTGAGAAGAGGTGCGAATCTGAAATGGCTTCTAACTATCCACCTTGGAAGAAAAACAATAACTTAGTAAGGAACAAACTTCCAGGCAACCGGCCCTCCACAGTCTCACCTACTAATGAGAGAACATGTAGGCCGGATTCAAATTGGTTTAGAAATAACAAAGTTACACACGAGATAGTGGTTGAGAGCAACCTGCCTAGCAGTGTGACGCCATTCAACATCACTCAGCTCCTCACACCAGTTATTCACACAAGACAAGAAACAGAGACATCTGAGATCCTGCAGTTTGCACACACACCTTCTGTTTCTGATTATTCTTCCCAGGGTGAAACTGACCCTAAACTTCAGACTGATGTCAAACATCTGCGTGACAGCTACAAATCTAAAGCTTCAAGTCTGCTGTTCAACCTCAAAGATAACCGAAAAAGAGTCAAGAGTACGTACAGTCCCACTAGATTTAAAGGGCTAGAAATAACAGATCGAAATAAGCAGACCTCCAAGCTGGAGGGCCGAGAATCCAGATTTTCAGATATTTTTGTATCCCAAGAAACTGCTCAGGAGAATTTGATTGGAATGGATGCACGGGCCTCATGTAACCTAATTCGAGAGCCCAGTGCAGCTCCTATCACCCCTAAAGATTATACCGATGGCTTTGGATCATATGACAATTTGACATTAACTTCACCTCAAATTCAGGACAGAGTCGCTAATTACAAATTGTTCCGTGGAAGTTCAGAGGGTCACTCTCCCAGCACAGATCCGCTGGCTAACACAGAGCTCTCAACACACTATCTTTCAGCACAGGATAAAAGCTCTCTGACATCAGAAGGTCAATTAAAAGACCTCAATGGTACTTTTATTCCTGCTAGGCCAGAAATAGCAAATGTGCTTCCAAAGGCTTATCCACCCACCCATTCTCTGCCTGCTCAGACATCAGAGCTTTACGGCCAGAGTGATAACGCAAGTCAAAATGATCTAAAACAAAGAAAGGACTTTGGAAGAAAAACATATATTGAATACAATCAAAACGATGCTGTTAAAGAAAAATGTCCATGGGATCAGATTGGTTCAGTCAAGGAAACAGACGGCAGATCTGAATCACAGCCATTTAGAGGAGAAATAGCAGCACTGATTGAGATGGACAAACAGAGAAAGGCCACCGCTAAGCAATATTTTGCCAGTGACCGCTATTCTGTCCGAAAGGAAACGTACATGCAAAAAGTGAATGAAGACATTAAACTTGGTCGACTCGCAAAGGAGGAGGAGAAAGAGGTCAGGGAAGACACAATATCACCCAGGAAAACATCTTACAGTGAAAAATCTATACATGACAACGAATTAAGCACATTTTCAAAGCCTACTGAATCATACGAAATACCAAAAAATAGTCTCCAGACCAAAACATTTCCTCTAACAGAAGTTCATGGTGGTTTACAAAGTTTCAGTGTCAAAAATTATTTTGTTAAAGGAGTACCAGCGCAAAATTCTTCTTTTAACACCATGGTGACACAAAATAGATTTGATCAGAGAGCTCATGACTATAAAGGTCAAGAGAATGAAGGATTGTACTCTTATCAGCCATACAGGTATGAGCCTAACAAACAGTGGCACATGTCATCAACAAGTGAAGATAGACACACTAAGGAAAGTGTATGGACACAGAAACAATCAGAGATGTTTGAACAAACTGGTGCCAAGAGTTATAAAATCTCCAATACATCTTCAAGTACACTACACATACATCAAAATGAGTTTTCCACCAATAATGGTGCACCAAATCCTGCTTTGCAAGATAAAGATTCAGTCGTCCCAAACATTGATACCTCACATCAAAATAATACAAGTTTACCAACTAAACAAGAAAACCGGTTCCGCATAAATTATATTCTTGCCATTAGAGATAATGAGCAATCAAGGAGGTTAAGAGATAATACATTTGTTTTGGCTAAAACAGAAAACCCACAAAATCCAATTAAATATGATACAGCTGAAAAACTAGCCATAACAGAGCCTGTAAAAGACCAACAAGGCTACAAATTGCAGGACATTGCAAGTCCATCACCTGGCTATGTGAGAAAGGATTTTCAAAATACAAATGAAACAAATATTAGCACTGACAGAAAAGACAGTACAATGAGAAAAGATACTGACGAGGTCACAACAAGAGTGCTTTCTTACAAGGAAAGAAGCCAAAGTAAACAAGAAATACTGACGTCGAAATTGAAAGCACATGCGCAGAAGGAAATATCAGCAATTAAAGAAAAGGGACTTGCCAAACAAGGCATTCTTGCGAGAAATGCAACAAAAGCAAGAGGGACTATCAATAATGATGGCCAAGAAGGTCATTCTGTAAAGAAGGAAATCACAGCAGACAAGCTGAATCATTTGTTTGAAGATATCACTTATTCCAGTGTAACCCAGTACAAAGAACAAATTAAATTGCACAACGATCATCCCAAGAATAGATCTCCACCATCAACAGAAATACAACCTCTTAATTTTGAAGATAATCAGAATGCAGTCCCAGAAAAGAAGGATGGGAATGTAAAATACAAACCTTTGGCTATAGAAAGGCAGAATGACAAACATCCAGCTGATGATAATGAGATGAAAGAAAAAACGTCTACTCAGGACAGAAGGGCAACAGTGGCAAATATGAAAAATAATGTCCATAAAAACTACAAGCCATCCAGAATCTCAGAAGATAAACAAATAAGTATGACAAGCTCAGAGAATATAAACACTAATAAGGAATCGGCAAAGCAAAGTCATGAAATGTCACAAGGTGAATCGATGTCAGGTCATTTGACAGCCACAGTCAAGACCTACAGAGAGAACTACACTTCCCATAATCCACCTGCACAGCAGTTTGAAAAACAAACAGTTCAGCATGATCAGAAAGAAAATCTGTATGGAAGTAGACAGAGTCAGAATACTTCCTCTGAAAAAGCTGTGACTAAACCTACTGATATAATCAAAGAAGACTTACATGTTATCATGAAATGTCACCAGGTGAATCGATGTCAGGTCATTTGACAGCCACAGTCAAGACCTACGGAGAGAACTACACTTCCCATAATCCACCTGCACAGCAGTTTGAAAAACAAACAGTTCAGCATGATCAGAAAGAAAATCTGTATGGAAGTAGCCAGAGTCAGTATACTTCCTCTGAAAAAGCTGTGACTAAACCTGCTGATATAATCAAAGAAGACTTACATGTTACAAGCACTGAAACTACAAAATCAAACAGTGGTTTGAATAAAAATTCTCTCTTGGGATTGGAGAAAAACACACCCAGAGTTGAGGAAGCTTATGTACATCTTAAAAGTAATATTACTGCTGCCGTGGAGCAGTCTAAAAATGAACCAATCAAAAATAGCTCTGGGATTGCAGCTAGTAAACTGACATCTTCATCAAGTGACATTAAGTTTAAATATGGAATTCCACCTGCTAAACGACTAATGGAACCATCCAAATCAGAGCTCACCTCAAACCTTCAAACAAATACGTTGAATGTAGATCCAGAGCAGCTTATAAATAGAACCTACAAACACAATTCTGGGGTCAATTCAGATTCAGAGGTGTCATCAACAGAAAATATAGTCAGAATCAACTCTGGACCAACAAATGACCTGGCCTCACAAGGAACCAGGGAGCCAGAAACACTAAAACCTTTTAATAATGAAGATGTACAAGCATTAATAAACAAAAACAATATAACACAGGAAAATGACATAGCTAAGCAACAAAACAACACTTCACAATTAAAGGCTGTAGAAACGACCTCTATAAACCAAATGGTGGAGAGTCACTCAAAACCAGAAGCAGATGAAGAATCACTAACACAAATAGCTTCAGCTGAAGAAAAAGAAAGCTGTCAGCAAAAAGAAATCCATCAAGATGATGAAAATACAAAGACTCTGTTCTCATTTGACAAGAATGAACTCCCAAGAAACCATCAGAGTATCTCAAGAATAAAAGATGATTCAGAAGTAGTAAATAACTGTCAACAGAGAGAGAAAATAACAGAAAGTGCAATCCCAATACAAGAACAAGGATTTCCCAGACCATTGGAAATATCACATGAGAAAAACAATCCAAAAAAGTCCACAAAAGAGTCTCAAGAAGTGAATCCGACCAATTACAAACCCCCAAAATCAGCTAAAGATGCACTAAAACCAAATGTTTCCCCCCAGCATAAAGTAATAGTAGAGGAGGATGCAACTCAAAAGAATAATATACAGCCTGTTTTAACACAGAATGTAGAATCCACAGCAGATACATCAAACATCACCATTCTTACACCAAGCAATGAGGAGACTGCAGAGGAACCCATCATTTACAGTATTTGTGTCTCAAGCAAAACAGAAGCAGTTTCAAATGATGAACCTATGATCTACACTATTTGTGTGTCAAGTAAGTGTCATATTGATGAGCAACAAAATCCGGTAAAACAAGAAGAGGAGAGTTCTGTTGAAACTGACAGATTTGTGAAGGATGAAAGCTTTTGTATTAAAAACAAGAGAGCGGAAAATGAACATGATGTTCACAGACAGACTGAAGTGTCTTCAAACATTGAAGACAAAGAAGACAAGATTGGAAAGTGTGAACCACCGGCAACTACAGATAAGTCAGGCATCACAGAAAGAATCAGTACATCATATGAGGACCTCTTAGCTAAATATGGGCTACCGGTCAGAGTTTGCGGTCATCTCACATCAAAACATATGCAAGATAAGAGAGAACAAAAAGAAAAGGAGGAGACTGAAACTCACCTGCCACACAAGCCAGTAAATCATGGAATGAACAGACCTCTACCATCCAAAGAAAAAAGCTCAGAAACAACACAAACACATCCAGAAGACTCCAGACAGGTTTCTGATCAGCAAGCATCCATTACCAGTCAACCTTTAAAGGGGACTGAGAGCGAAATCAAGCAAGTAAAAGTGCAACACTATGATACCATATCAATAACTCATTCCAACAACATGGCTGAAAAGCAACAGAGTACAGGAAACAATACGCCAAAGCTTGGTCATTCTACAAGAGATGCTACCAAAATACTCAAAGATACAGAAAATGTTGAACAAGATCAAGATACTCACATTGAACCATCAAGGCAAAGTAGGGGAAATGAAATTGAGTTGAAGGAAAAGAAAGTTGAGGAGCAAGTGAGAAACACTGATAAAGTGCAAAGTCTGCAAATGACAGGAAATATTTATGTTGTATCTAATTCTAGAGAGTCCCCAAATAAAACTGAGAATGTATCCCTGATGGCTAAACAACCTACAACAACAGATGAATCAACAAGGCCAACAAAAACTGAGGTTTTAAAGGCACTCATTTCATCCGTTGCAAAGGATACAGTCAACACTAAACTCATTGAAAGTACAATTCCTGAAAGGATGATACCCCAATCTAAAAAGAAGTCTCAAAAGGTGGAAGGTGAAGACAAATTGTTTAATGATACTGATACATTTACGTCTCAAAAGAATAAAATACATGGAACAGAAACATTTAACTTAAAGGTTGAGAAAGCTTTGCATGAGGCAAAACAAAAGGATCCTGTAATGGCTATGAAACAAGAATCTGTCTCAGACAAACATGCTCAAACTCTGCAAAAGAATGTAAAGGAGGATGAGAAAGGAGGGGAGAAAAGGTCACAAGAGAAGATACAAGTTGAATTTAACACGAGTAATGAAATTATAAACAGGATGAAGATGGTTTTAAAAGATGGCACTGCCACACATGTTAATAATTATAGGGATAAAGTTAGCAGTACTGGTGAGGATGTGTGTACTGTTGTAAAACAAGACCAGGCCTGTTTTGAAGTCCCAAAAATTCACTTAGAGTACATAAAAGTGTCTACAGCGGAAGTATCATCAAACAAGGAATTCATGCCAGGCCACAAAAACCAACATGAAGTGACAAAGAAGGAAAATCTGAAAGGAAAGAAAGGAGCTGTCGTGACTGAACTTGTGGGTGAAAAAGACTTTACAGAGCAAAATAACTTACCAGTTAAGCCCCTTGCAGTCCAAAATGAACCCAAAACGGTGGATAATATGAAAGGGCACATTGAAATGACATGCAAAAATACATATGATGTTGGAAAAGAAATCACACCACTTAAGAAAGACAGTCCAAGTAAATTAGAAAAGACAGAAATTAATCCAAGAGAAGGAGCAGCTGAGACTCAAGATATAAAAGTCTATGATAATAAACAACCCACACTGAACAGTGACAAAAGAAAGAAAGAAGACCCTGTATTAAGTCTGAGTGGTCAAGATGATGGTGATTTGAAAGTTAATGAAAACAGAAACAGCCTCAGAGGGAAGAAAGAAAGAAATGTTGAAGCTACGGAGACAAAACAGGGTGATCAGACTAATACAAACCAGTATCAGCAAGAAACAAAAGGAAGTGCACGATATGAACAAGAGCATGCTCAGTTAAGTCAACAGGACACAAGAAAAGAAGGGATATTGTGCAAACCAGAGGCTACTCAGAGGAACAAGAAGGTGACTAGACCAGAAATATCAGCTATCGCAGACTATGCTAGATTGAAAGTTATCTCTGCTGAAGACGATACAAAAAAGCTTGATTTATTCCCTAAAACTGACTTCTACAACAGTTATGATCAGCCAGTTTTAAGAATTCATAAAGATTTATATGGAAATGTGTCGGATATAGGGGGAGAGTCTAAAAGAGATGTCATTTCAATGGAGAAATGTCAAAATCTCAAGCAAAAAACATCACAACTTAAAAAACAAACAGATAAAGAGATGTTACCTCAAAAACAAAACCACTTGATTCCCAGTACAGTTCAACTAAAACCTTTATCACTGGTAGCTTCAGGTTCACAATATGAAGCTGCATCAATGGGCACCAAACCAAGGGCTCTAACGAATCAAAAGGAATCAAACACTAAACCAACTTTCATGGAGCATCCAAACAGAAGAGAAGGGAACAAAATTTATCAGTCCAAGAATCCCCAAGGTGTACCATTGCAAGCCGACTGTACAATAAGCAGATCAAGACAAATGACTCATGACAAAACAACTGAAAAGGGCAATCTTTCTCATTATGGAAGACAAGAATCTCTAGCAAACTTGTCATCGTCTGGCACTGTAAAAGCAGCAGACAACCAAATAAATATGACATCACCACCTGGAGAGGAAATGGAGGAAATACAATATTACACAGTGAATGCTCTTGACACTGAAATCAAGCCAAAAGAAGCACCTGAACTACCTCCTCCATGTCTCAAAATGTCTCAAAACACAGACTCAAAATCAGAGAAAGAGAAAAAAGACGACTCATTTTTGCAAAGTCTAATAGACTACAGTAAAGTTCATGCAACAGGACCGCGATCCAACTCTTCTTCTCCAGCCATGGGGAAACCCGTCATGTTCAGAGTGAAGGATAATACCATCAGAACATCTTCTGTGACCAAAACCGTCAAGCCATGTTTTCACAGGTCATTCTCTGAAGACTTCCGGATTGGCTCCCCAAAGGAACACTTGAGCGGTTCAGAGAAAGAAGATGAAATTCACCCCAAAGAGTCTGTTAACCCTCCAGTCAACCATGAACCGCCTATTGCTGCCCATCGGCTCCATAAATTAAAAGAGACACTCCACAATAACTTGCCCTCAGCAGAATATGCAACAAAACAATCAAAGAGCCATCAGAGAAGGAGCCAACATTTTGAGGAAGAAGAAACTCGTTCTGTCATCAGCAGAGTGTCAGAGGATATGGAGAACTGTACAGCGAGCCTCACAGATGTGGCCAACATAAGTGTAGCCTTCATGCCCAAGCATGAAAGTTACAGAGACACCTACCAAAGGCCTGCGTCCGCCTGCTACGAAAGACCAGAGTCATCCTGCTATGAAAGACCAGAATCAGCCTGTAGTGATATGAGGCCAGTCGGTAAACCTCCAGCGGTGCCCCCAAAATCAGAAAAAGGTCTTCGGCGAGCACAAAGACTTACAACGAGGCGTATGAAAAAGGCAGAGACCCCCAAGATGGCACCTGAAAACCATGAACAGCTAGAGTCCAAATCAATCAGAAACGTCTCTGTTGTGCCCTCTTCACCTTCAGACACACTGTCAACACATCTAGTGGTACAAGCGTCACCTCCTCTTTCACAGTATGACATCCAGCCAAATTACACCCCCCCAGCACACAGTATAGTCGCCCAACCTTTCCCCGTGACACAGAGAAAGCTTTTGCAAGACCCAAACTCAGGGCAGTACTTCATGGTGGATATACCATTACCGGTTAAGCCAAAGACATTTTATGACCCAGTAACGGGTAAATATATACAGCTGAATGTCCGTCAGAGGTCTCAGGGTGCTCTAACACAGCCAGCATCGTTGGAGATGTTGAACACTCCCTACATGCTGTATCGTGGGCTTCTGCCAATGGCTGCGTCTTCATTAACACCCTTGAGGTCATCATCTGAAATGTCGACACCAGCAGACAACCAGGATATGCTTGAGAGAGGTAGTGAACCGTGGAGTCAGAATGGTCATCTGCAGAATAGCAACAGAGATTCACCGCAATTCCCTGATATACTGTACAGGTCACATGAGCAAATTCAAAATCCATCTTTGTATGCAGAAAACAGTATCGACAACAATGAAAGACACACAGATATTATAACTATGAGTGAATTAGAGGACTTTGCAATGGAGAGCACATGACGAGTAAAGTTAGTTGTTTAGATAGGTAAATACTGTTTGTACACAAATCTAAAGCTAAATGACTGTATATCTAAGCTATTTAAATGTGACTTTTAAATATGTTAAATTAGTTCTTAAAACTGTTTTTGATTTGTATTTAAGGATTGCTGTTAAACCGCATTGTGTTTTGTAGCTGAAGTTACCGTAATCGGGGTAGGCAGGAGCTCTTTATTGTCAAAAAAAGTAAAGGGAAGAACTGTGAAGCATTCCAATTAATTGTTGAAAAAATTTTGCAGTGTACTTGTTTATAATACAATAAAGACCATGCCCACAGAGCACACTGTACATTCAAGGCAAGTATATTTCTAATGTGACTTTTTAGTGGTAATGCTAAGGCCTTATCCTTAGACCCAGCCAGAATAAAAATCAAGCCTTTTTTTGGGGTCAGGTTTTCCATATGGCCCACAATATGCATGAAAATTGTCATATGTCAGGTTTAAAACTCAGTTTAAGGGTACTTGCCAATGCCATATTAAAACAACTTTTCCCTTGATGTGCTTTGGCAGATTACATATTAAAAAGGGGTGGTCTGTCTTTACCTTGCCATGGTTGCTGATGTATGACTATAAAATGATTGCCTTAAAAACAACTACTTGCAATGTACCACTTTTACAGTCTTTCAGAAACTCATTACATCATCATTAAAGAAAAATGTGAATCAAAATGTGTTGACTGACTGCTGTTTTCTCAAACAGATCCCATTAAACAGCTAATGCATTAAAAAATCATTTAAAAAGAAATGCAAGTAATATCTGACATAAACTTGAGAATGAGCTTCATTGCTTTCTTTACCCCAGTGCTGTGATATATTTGGGGGTTTGAGTGAATTCAGTATCTGCACAATAGACCACTCTAGTGG